ATAAGTATAGGTAATTATAATAATGAATAAGTGTGAAAATATTTGTCAGTTGATCATGAAGTGTTTCAGTAGATCAGCGGACGAAAAGTACTTGCCTTCGGATATAGTCGGATCTTCGTTGGAAAATTAGAACGTAAAATGTGATTTTTTGTAGAGGTTGACAAAAAAACTATTTTCGATTGAACGATTATAGCGTTTTAGGTGTAGGTAAAATATTGTACGATATTCGTATCGTAAATTCATATTACTATAATCGACAGGTTATCAAACTCGGCCTCTTCGGCCTTATTGTTTGACGAATTTTCCATCTCATATCGTAACATGAATCTTTGCGATACTTATTGTATCGTAAATATCTATCACCTACGGCCCACTATAAAAAAGTAGGCAAGAACACAAGAGATACAGCCTCAGTAATTAGCTCTTTACGCACAGTGAGCACATATCGCACAGTTTTCTTATATTCCGCCAATATAGGCATATGTCATGATCGCGTGATCGCCGTCAACAGCGGATGACATAACTGTCCAGAATTATAATTCAGACTGTTTCTACAAACTTTTTTGATGTACTATATGGCAGTAGGTAAAGTATAGTACGCAATGCGTGTTGTAAAGCAATATGCTTCTTACAACACATATACGTAATATACTAATTACCCATACTTTTGAATCATTCTCACTTTGAGACTTTTTAGGTATCTGTACTAATATAATAATAATAATAATTTCAAGAAATGAAAATGAATAATATTTTTTAAATGAATTGAATCAAATTCACTGTAGGTATCAGGTTTTACTGGTCACAAACAATTATTCCAGATATTTTCTTTATGGGTAAAAACATCAAACAACATGAATCAACAAAATGCAATTGAATTGTTGCAGTGTTACCGAATTGATACACAAAAATCTAGACCGCACCCTGTATATGTATATATCTTTTAGTTAGAATAAGATGATAGGGGTTTTTATCTTTCATTATTAGTCATTTCCGGATGTTTATGGAGGTATTTGTATCACACTCTATATTATCAAAGTCGTCGTGGCATCTCTGCAGAATGAGACATTACAAAGAGGCAGTTTCCTAGGAAGGAAGGAAATCAGACGATATACAGGATGTTTCAAAATTCAGTAACAAGAATTCAGGGACTTAATTTTCAGATGAAAATAAGACTTTTGTTCTGTTAATATAGATATACAGAATTGATACTGAATTTTATTTAAACACCCTTTAAATTGTTATTCTAGGATGTCAATCTCAACTGCATAGGAATATCCTATATGAGAGGAGAGGAGGGTGATAATCAGGAAGATTTAGCTGTCATTAAGTTGGGGATATAATATAGGGTGTCCCTGAAAGGTCTACAAAAGAATCCATAGACTCCTGAGAGCAAAGTGAGCTTATTGAACCAAACCTCTATACCAAAACGCTTCGTTAGCCGCTAAATTGTGTCGGAATTGAATTTATTATTTAAATTTTTTCGTATATTTCAATATTGTCTATCGATATCGTTCTGTAATTTTATAGGCACACTAAAAGGACTTTTATGCAAAGAAAACATTCCATGCTCCTTTGATTGACATATGGGGGATGTTACATATTTAGAGTAATATTGATCGAAAAATTGATTGATAGACATTTTTCTGAGAACGGCACTGAACAGATCTCAATGTTGTTTTCTATTTCCTCATTCAATACCTAACTTTTAGTCCACCTGAAAGTTCGTGATATTTTTATATTGGTTTTCAAGTTAATTGACCAAATTCAATTTGATGCATACCTGATGTACTCTTTAGAATTTTTTGATTATTATAGGTTCGTACTCAATTTTTTTATGAAATAATCAATGATATCAATGATATTCAATATGGGGCACAAATTTCTCCACGAATTCAAAAGAACGCGAAGAAGAAAGCGTTGTGGAATAGAGGTGAGTTTGGTTCAAGCATCTCTTTTTGGTCTCAGGATTCTATGGTATCATTTTGTACAGACCTTCCAGGAATGGATAACATCAAAATATCATCAAAGTAGGTCCAAATTATTGGTAGGTACAGGGTATCCCACATAACTTGGGCCACCCCCTTATCTGGTAAACTATTATATAATATACAGAAAAAAGTTCAGAATAAAAATTGTATAACTTCTCATGACATTTAATTTTTAGATACTGTCATTTATACAGGATGACCCATGTGTCTGTGACATATCACAAATACGTTTTTTCAAATGAAACACCCTATATTTCATCATATTTTCAGATGGTACTTCAGAAGACGAGTTCAATGATATATAATAACATGGGTCTGAGATCACCCGTTTCGGATTTATACACGATCTTCTTCAATAAATTTTCCAATTTCAAAGCCCTATAGAAACGTTGTGAATGGAATTTTCGATTCGCAACTTCTGCTATGAATTAACAAAGCCTGTATATCATTTTGTTCTATGGTGAAAATTTAGGAATTTTGAATTTGCCAAAAGTGATGACGTATTTTGAAGACCAATAATTATCTCGAGATTTTCAAACGGAACACCCTATATTTTATTCCATATTTGCATAGAACTCAGAAAGACGAGTTCAATGATCTATGATAACATGGGTCTGAGATCACCCGTTTCGGACTTATACACGATCTTCTTTAATGAATAGTCAAACAAAAAAACTAACATTAACTGAGAAAACGAGTAAACATAACAACAGTAACAATTAGATATAGTATTCAATTGAATATACAAAGTAGTCAAATCAAATTTTCTATATACCGTCCATTTTCAGCTATGCACGTAGTATATCTTATCGCGATATGTCTCAGTGTATTTGCTACTGCATGTGATTCATTCAAATTCACGTTGGCATGTCATTCCACTCTGAGTTTTGGTTTTCTCTTCGATCATTTACTTATGTCCAGTGTTTATTCATTGAGAATTCAATGGAAAATGTTGAACAGTATGAAAGATATACGATTTTTATGAGGAAATGACATTTATTGCAATGAATGCATCCGAATTGATAAGGCAGACAATCAGAAAAAATGTTCGAATACATTTTATTAATTGAATATTCCCGCATTGGTCTCGTATAGAGTCAAATGTAGGTGAAATTTAATTGTGATAACCTGTGCTCGATCATTTCCAAAAGGTTTTCCAGTGAAATAATAGTATAACATTACATGAAAATTTCGATAATATTCGTTGTTTTCAAAACTCTTTATTACGAATTGTTTCACAGAAATTACAAATTTTTTATCTAATATGAAGATAACAGTCAGAATTTTACCATTGAAATTTGATTATTTTTCCAAGAAGATCGTGTATAAGTCCGAAACGGGTGATCTCAGACCCATATTATAATATATCATTGAACTCGTCATTCTGAGCTTCATCCAAAGATGGAATGTAATAGGGTGGTGTTCAATTCGAAAATTTGTAAAAAATTATCGTATTTCAAAATACATCATCACTTTTGGTCAATGCGAAATTCATAAACTTTTACCATGGATCAAGAAAACATACAAAATTTGTTAATTTATAGCGGAAACTGCGAATCGAAAACTTCATTCACAACGTTTCTATAGGGCTTTGAAATTGGGCAATTTATTGAAGAAGATCGTGTATAAGTCCGAAACGAGTGATATCAGACACATGTTATGATATATCATTGAACTCGTCTTCCTGAGCTCTATGCAAATTTGGAATGGAATATAGGGTGTTCCATTTGAAAATCTCGAGATATTTATTGGTTTTCAAAATACGTCATCACTTTTCGCAAATTGAAAATTCCTAAATTTTCACCATAGAACAGAATAATACACAGACTTCGTCAATTCATAGCAAAAGTTGCGAATCGAAAACTTCATTCACAACGTTTCTATAGGGCTTTGGAATTGGACAATTTATTGAAGAAGATCGTGTATAAATCCGAAACGGGTGATCTCAGACCCATGTTATTATATATCATTGACCTCGTCTTCTGAAGTACTATCTGAAAATATGATAAAATATAGGGTGTTCCATTTGAAAAAACGTATTTGTGATATGTCACAGACATATGGATCATCCTGTATAAATGACAGTATATAAAAATTAAATGTCATAAGAAGTTATACAATTTTTATTCTGAACTTTTTTCTGTATATATAATAGTTTACCAGATAAGGGGGTGGCCCAAGTTATGTGGGATATACCTAGTTCATTTGTACTGGCCTGGCAAGAATTCATGGGCGTCGTTGCCCCACCTTCTCGAGTCTGGCACGTGTGGCAAAACGATAATTCTCAAAACTAGATGTTGCCTCAATTCACTTGGACACTATCGAATTAATGTTTTTGACTATTTCACTCGTCCTATAATCTGACCAATCACAAGTCAAGAGACAACGTTTGCTTATCGCGAGAACAGTAGCTGTCTTCCAATTCTGATATCAGCGTTGATGTTTTTAACGATCTAAACATCAATAGCGGAGCAAAGTCTGGATGTTACCATGGATAGCGAAACAAAGTCTGTCAGTTTGGCATGAAATAATTATGGCTGCACTTTTCAGAATGAATCACTCATTTATAATAAATACTTTTCATGCTTCGTGAACGTGAAATAGTCTATCAAACTTCCAATCTGTTCTGAATATGTTCCCATAAGTCCGTCTTTCATTGTTAACTCAATTGTGTTGCCGTACAGCAATACCACTCGTCCTGAGGGACTCGTGGTGGCAAATTCAGTCAGTTTGACATAAAATAATTATAGCCATAGATGTCAGAATGAATCGCTTTGGTTATATGTTCATTTATAATAAATGTTTATTATGCATTGTGACATAGTCTTGCAAAATATATCTTCTCCCATAATTTTGTCATTTATTATTAACTCCAATTGTGTTGCAGTATAGCAATACCACTCGTCCTGAAGGGTTCCTGATGTTGCTCGGCAACACAATTTTATGAACGATGAAGCGACAGAATTATCCGTGATATTCAGAACATCATAATATTACTTATGAGAATACCATTTGCTCCAGCAGTTCCTTCCTGTATTCCAATACTTTTTTCCAATGCTGTTTCCTTTTGCTTTCTTCATATTTCTTCAAGATTTCATCAGTTTTATATCGATTCAGCATTTCCCATTTCCTTATTTCTGCCTGTTTTTTATTAGCAACTTCTTCATGTTCAATGAATTTTTTTCTATCCTCAAAGCGTTCTTCCTTCATCTTTTTGTCGTATTCCGCTCTCTTTTTGAGTTTTTTTTTCTCACTGTTGGCGGAAAACAGGCATTATTACATTTCTGTGGATTTGCCATGCACTATGAATTATTAAAAAATATACAGATCCCCAATGTATATACCTATAAAGGCTCACTTCCTTCTTGGTTTATTAGTTTCGCAGAAAGAAAACAGAGATTATAATAAGGACATAAATTGCTATAACAATAGTCATGCTACCTATTATAATATTTTCCGTCTATACAGAGAACTGCACATATAAAGGCCAGTGCTAGTGGCTGATTTTTTAACCAATCAATTCTTTATTTCGATTTTTTCACAAAAAAATAGGGTGAGTTGATCAGGGGCAAGTCATCCAGGCTATGTTCGAGGGGGGGGGGGTGCATGGTCATGGAAAATCATCGTTCAGGTTAGCAAGAAAGAGGAATATTCCTGTATTTCTCAGACTGTAAATGGAATTATTCTGTGAACTGAGTAAATAATAGTAATTTGTTTAACTAGGCAGCAAAGTAGTAGATTGACTGCCGAGGCTGAATTCATAGCCGAGCGTAGCGAGGCTAGGGATCCAGCTAAGGCAGTCAATCTACTTTGCTGTCGAGTTGAACATATAATTTTTTCTCTGATTGTTCATAATGATATAGGATATTGTAATTGCAAATTATTACAATTCCCACAATCTCTTTATTTTTCCTGCAGTGTTCAATTAAGATGAAATTTGATAGAAATCGCAGTTGTCCATGATAATTATTATAGTTTGACAATTCATGAAAATTCTGACAGTTGTGCGAAAAAATATCGGTAAATTTAAATCATTATATTATGCATGGACAGTGATAGCGACCTGGAAGTACTTACACCTCCAGAAATAAGGGAGGTGGCAAAAAATATAGAATTGAATTTGTTGCCGGAGAAGTCTTGAATGAAATATGAAGGAAATTATAAACGATTTATGGAATGTTGACTTTGCTGATACATATCAATCAGCAAAGTACCCACTTTCCTGCATAGGCAGGAAAAGTAATACTCTGCTGATTGATATGTGTCAGCAAAATTAATATTTGCTGCCAATTTCGGAGAAAAATAAATAAACTCTCGCTACGGCACGGTCAGTTCTGAAACTTCTGGATCATTCGATATTGAATTTTGAAATTTGGAGGATAGCAAATATACACCTAATGGGATTGTACACGCTATAGTCGAATTTATGCCAAAAACCTATCTCATATTGATCATTCCGTGTATAAATAGTATTTGATGCAATCATTCGTTATTCAAAATCATTGCGAATTTATTTTTTTTAGTAATGAAATTCGGCCTCCTCGAATAAGCCAAGTTCAATAAAGTCGGCATTATATTCCTTCAGAGGCGTCCCCCATAGACAATATGAGAGCAACGCCATCTGAGTAGAAAAGGTGGAAAAACACTCCAAGACCAGAATTCACATACGGGAGTGGCTGGAGGCCCGACTGGCGTAATTTCAACTACGAACTAGCCACACATTGCTCAAAGTGGAATGAAATGTTGAATAAATACAAACAGCTTGAAGTCATTTCCACACAATGTTCATGATTTGAATAACAATGGTTTTCGGGAGAAAAACGACTACTTTCCTGGCTAATGCCACGCAAAATATTGAAATACATCCTTCCGAAATCTATGCATCGACTCGTATAAACGAATACTGGAGTAATAATGTAATATGATAATAATTTTATGAACATCATGTCGAGATAACTTTGAACCTTTTGTATTTATTTAACATTTCATTCCACTTTGAGCATTGTGGCTATTTCGTAGTTGAAATATCCTAGTATTCCTAATAATGATCGAGATTTTATGCAAACCCAAATTACTTTGTGGCATTGGCAACAGCGTAATGCCTAGAGTTCCCAGAAATAGAAGAAGAAAAGAAGAAGATACGAACTACGAACTACGTTGTCAACTTAACTTACTAACGTCACCATCATCTTCAAATCCTTGATTCATCTAGTCGAGATGCGGTTCAAAGATATTCCTCCTTATTATATCTGATTCATCTTCAGTTGTGTGTTATATTCTCTGTTATCTGCAGTAAGTATTCAGTCCAGAAAATTCACTAGAGTCTATATAGAATGAGCACCTTTTGTGGAGGCGAACTTTTTTCATATTTTGATTGAAATGACAATCAGAAATATTCTTGCACTTGTCTTACAGACAAGTGGAATAGATATACGTATGTCGAATTATTTCGGATGATTACGTCACGCGTTTTCGTTTTTTTTTATTCAAAAAATGTACAGAGCTCTGAGGAAAAAACGGTACACGCCAGTGAACTAGTTAGGGTTAGTACTTCGAAATAATGAAGTAAACATTTTCGGTACGAGTGCATACAAATTACCGATAATTTTGCAATAAAGCCTGTTATAAATGGTTTATTTTCATATTTTGGCGAGAGAGCCCGAGACCGAAGTAGGAGGGCTCTTTTACAAAATATGAAGGAAAATAAACGAATGCAATTTGTATAAGACAACACGCTTGAATGCAAAATTGTCTGGTTATTTTTATGCACGAATGTAATTCATTGAAATATTTCATGAAGTAAGGAATTCTGTCTGTTGGATTTGGTATTTTTTTTGTTTCACTTTCATTTATTCTTTGTATTGTTTACTGGCGTCTAGCGACAAGGCTTTATAAATGTGTTGTCATGGCGACGGGATCTCTTCGCAGTGCAATCTTCGCTCTGCAGTGCAATTACCGATAGAGAGGGAAATATTCACTGAAACATGCCCATTGCTCATTTATTGACTCCGATGACGATCATTTATGTTTCTTGATCTTTTGAAATGATGTCAAATGACGATGGCTTTCTCCGTATCGCTTTGCATTGCTGGGCTCTGAATGGCCCAGAACCCTTCTGTGGTATTGCGAAAGCTATAAAAAATACTATACCTTTTCAACTTCAATTTCGAAATCGGTAAGTTATATTTCGGAGAAAGTAATCTCGATTTCAGAATTGGTTAGTTCGATTTCAGAAATGGTAAACTCAATTTCAGAATCGGTGAGATGAATTTCAGAAAATGTCCATTCAATTTCAGAAATGGTAATAAGTTGTATTTCAGAATTGGTATGTTCAATTTCAGATGATAAATCCTCATATCTGTTTGGAATGTTTTTAATTGCGAAACAGAAGATTGTTTACAGTAGATGAAACGGTGTTTGAGAGCGTACGTTTGAAATGGGCATCCTGCAGATACCATAGTGGTAATTCTGGATAATGCACCTGCACATTCAAGAATAGAAGAGATATGCATGGAGGAAGAATTTCGAGATGTTATATTTCGAAGATTGGCACCCTACAGCCATATGTTGAACCCGATTGAAGATATATGGGTGTCTTCAAGTCAAAAGTGAAGAACTCTTTGTGCAAGAGCATCGCCAAAGGGTTATAGCCGGGGATGCCTTTAAGAATGTGCAGAACATTTAATGCGAATGATAACACCTCAAATGTGTTCGCAATCTTATAATCATGTGCAACGTCACTATCCTTCTTCGACTCGGATGGAAGACATGTCTGTGGATTAAGTTGAGATTATAATTATCCCTAATAGCACACAACGTCCTAGGGACGTCCCTATTTGGTACAATTCACGTCCGAATGTCCCGAACCAAAAATCCGAGCAAGGACGTCCACGGAATATCCCAGCTGGTACATCATTTCAAATGTCCTAGAAATAGCATCCCTTAGACGTCCCACGTGTACATATTGTAGAATGTCCATGCAAGGACGTCCTTGGCATGTCCTGATGGGATATGGTTTCAAACGTTCCTTTAGGGACATCCATCGGATGCCCCGAGTGGTACATATTCTGGCATGACCTCAGATCTTATATAATGTCCCTTCTAGACAACCATGAAATGTCCCTGATGGTAGATTCCTTCAAATATCTCTGCACAGGCGCCCTTAATATTTCCAGGATCGTATAACAATCGGAATGTCCCTTAGGGACATCATTCGAATGTCCCTTAGGGATATCCGTCGGATGTCCCAATTGATACATGAACTGTACTTATCCTATGTCCTAGAAATAACGTCCTACGGACGTCCCAGTCGGTACTTTCAATATGTTGTCCCTGCGAGGACGTTAACTTACACCTCGCCGACAAATGATTGCTCGTAGGCTATAAGTACTCTCCGTCAATGTCCTCCACGTAAGTCCATGGGACATCCTTGGGAAACTTTTTGTGGACTTACGGACCATCAACTCAACTAGATGTCCTAATCAGTTATGCACGATCTGGTCCTAGAGGGACCCAGAAAAATTCCAATTTCATGAATAATTCGCACGTCCCTGGGACATCCTATGGACATTCAATGGATACCCCTTAGCGTTGCTGATAGGTCGTCCTATGGATGTCCTAAGGATGTCCTCTGTAGTGCTTGATGAGGGATTTAGGTATTCGATAGTCGTCCCAGGGACATCCCTCAAGGACGTCCCTAGTTGGTCCTCAAGTGGGACATTTGTGCGTCCCACAGATATTGAAGAATATATATTTCTGTCTGATTTACTCAAAATTACAATATTTAATATCAATTTGGGGAAGCACAAGTATATCACATTTGAAACCATTAATGAAATTACAAAATAAAACAATTAAGTGCATTTACAATTTACATTACCTGGAACCAACTATTAATCTTTACAAACCAAAGAATCTGTTGAATTTATCATCTTTATATAAAATGAAAATTTGTTCTTTCATCCATTTTGTGAGAAAAAAAAATAAAAATATCCTACTTGAACTTAACTGTAGTAAATACAATTCATACTCATGCAACGAGACAGTTGAATTCTCGGTTGAATTCATTAATAGCAAACCCATATAACTCCATCATTGGCAAACAATCAGTATTCTACAACGGAATCATTTTATATAATTCATTACCTTATGATTTGAAACATATTGATGATGAAACAAGATTCAAAGTCAATATGAAAAAATATATACTCATGACACAATAAACGGAGCAATTTATTCTCATTTGAATACTTGGAATGGTTTTATTTTAATTATTATGTTATATTGACATAACTTGTTGATTAGTTTTTTTTCATTGTTTTATATATATATATATATATCATATGTTTATGTATCCCTATTATAAACAGATATGTTTCTTGGGGTAATAAAGAACAACAACAACAACAACAATTATGAAATCGAGATTACTTGTTCCGAAATATATAACTTACCGATTCCGAAATTGAAGTTGAAAAGGTATAGTGTCAAATCATGGATGCAAACCAAATCTCAAGAATGGTGGAACAACTCGCCAGAAACGAGACAGGCAAAAGAGTTTATTAAAAACCATCGTCAACTTTCACAGAATATCTACTGAGCCAGAAACGAGGTTCGACTAGAATACTAGTGGGACTTCTCACAGGGCATTGTAGGCACACATGAGTACGATATAGGTCTTACTGAAGAACTGCGGTGCAGGTTCTGTCAGGAAGAGGAGGAAACAGCAGTACACATACTTTGCCACTTTGAGGGCTTGTCAAGACTATGGTTCCTCGCGCTGGGTGAGGAAAAACCAGAACTAGAAAGAACTCTAATCGATTTTGAGGGCAGACACATTAGATCTGAAAAGGTCGCGGTGTGGAGGCAGATAGCCCGAAGGCCCCATTCTAAATCTAATCTTATCTAGTTGATGGGCAGATTTCTTTCTATAGGTATTGGTTGGATTCTAGATTTTCTCCAGCAGAATATACAGGGTGAGTCGGTTTTTTGTTGCAGGACTTCAACAGCTCGAAGAAGATACTATTTTAAAATAAAAATCTCATGTAAACATATATGCGTAGAAGCCCCTCCTTCGATTTACAGGTGGTGTGATATTTTCATATATTTTCATGTGTTTTTCAAGTTTTCCCACTGAAGTTTCATTAAAACATCTTATAAAAGTTTTCGATCATTCCAGGTCTACTAGTCAATTATTGAGAAATGTCAAATCGAGTGTGTACGAGAAATTAAGTTTTATCACAAATACATTATTTTTGGCATTTATCTCGAAATCCATAGTTTTCGAAAACCATATGAGAAAGCATGGAAATTTGAACAGAGGTGACGACAGATTTGCTACAGTGTAGAACTTTGGGTGGAAAAAGGGGTATTTCCATATGCTCAATTGGTATGATTTAGCAATATCGAAACTTATTTCTCTGTCACACTCATTGAGATAATCGAACGCGAATATCTTCGTGATCATTTGAAATAACCATATCAAACCCGATATCGCTGAATTCGTTATAATTATCCCTAACCGATTATGGAATAGAATACAGGATGTCCTACCTGAAAATCAAGAGTTTGGGTCGTTCCCGGTGAAACCGGAAGTGATAAAACAAAAATTATTTTGTCCAATAATGAGCAATTCGGTATACCACCAATTTTCAAAATTCGATCTCGAATGATTCAGAAGCACTGGCCGGTTTTTGTTCACTTCTCTGTATGTTCACATGAACTTTTCATCTTGAAAATATGTGTTCTTCAAGCTGCTAAAGTCCTACTGCAAAAAAAACTGACCCACCCTGTATAATGAGCATATAAACACACACAAAATATGTTATTAGTTGCTCAGCCTTCAGCCAGACCTTCAGTAAACGCCTCCTCTATGGATGGAAATAATTTTGATTGGTAGAGCTCCTAACATATTGTACTCGAGCCCAAATAGTATATCGTGCAACTAGTGAGAAAAGTGCTTTTCTCCACATGATGCACACTATACTTTTTCTACAACTGCACTTTTATTTTATAATGTGGCACTATGCCACATTGTATATTGTGTCCAAAGAGTAGACGTCTTTCCTAGTTCCTCAAAGTATTTCAAAAAAGTAAACTTTCCGAAAAAGATTTTATTACTGTATTTTTCTAGATTCCATGAATTTTTCGAACCATTATGCCAATTCATACTTTTTTCTTGAAATTTCCGTAAACAAATCCAACTTTCGCAGCTTTTTCCATTATTTTTGTCTCTGGCGGTGTATTTATCACATATTGGTATATACATCATATTATTTATTATAAATTGTTGGAAGAATATTTGATAGGAAATGCGATTTTTATCAAAAGCACTAATGAAATCTACCCTAAAGAATTCAGAAAACTACTTCTGAAAGTTGTGACAACTATTCAAAGCTGAACAGCAGCCAATTCAGTTGCAGTCGATTTTTGTTGATTCTCCATGGAAATGTATGTGGTGTTGGCAAAGTGCCGTGAAAAAATATTTCTCACAGTATGAGCAATACTAAGTAAGCTATGAGAAAGGCGCTACTTTTCATAGCAGAAGTAAAAAACATATTTTCCAACTCTTAACCTAGAACAAAAGTTTAAAGGAAATTTGAAACCTACATGGCATCTTTCTCTGCAATAGCAGCCTTCATACGTTCTTCTTCAACTTCTGTTTTAGCTTTCTCATGTGCCATCACCAATTTTGCTACTGCTTCTTGTCTAGCTGCCGCTTCATCTCTCAACTGGAAAATATTGAATGAAAAAATATAGGGTGATTCATTTAATGAATTGTACAGAGTGAGCAATACTCGATATTCGATGATTCAGCTTCATATTACGACCACGAATGGATTGCATATTGAATTTTTTTATATCTCGAAAACTGTGAAAAAAGTAATAAAGTAATTATGTAATCGAATTCTATATTTTTAGAATTTTGGAGAAATTGGAACGAGCTCACTTTTTCCTCTTGTTCTCTTTTCCTTTTTTTCCTTCATGATTTTCATGATATGGATTTCGGGAAGATTTTCGAAAATTGCTTGTTTATAAAGTGAATGCATTTTTTTCATAATTTTGTTATACAAATTGGATTTCAAATTCTTTGATGGAATAATGTAGCAATTTTTTTCTTGAGAGAAGATTTGTTCAATAAAAGTTATATACCTTCAAAAATACGTATATGTATTTCAAGATATAGGTAGGTATATAATTATGATATTGGGAAATGGGCATCACTCATTCAATTATCTTATTTCAGATTTTTTCTACTGATTCCTCTCTTCATATAATATATGCTGAGACATCGAATTTCGCTCACCCTATACAAAACAGAATAAGATTATTGGCCGAATATGGCCTTAGTGATAAAGTAGACTGAACAATCATGATAACATTAATTAATAAGTTTATTCAAAGAACTTTTTCCATAATAAGAGTTATAAAATAGCTATAGTGTATGAAGAAAGACCTTACGAAGTATTTTTTTTTTCTGTGACGGGAAAAAAGTTTGGCATTTCATCTCTGTTGGCAGGTTAAAAAATGTCACTTTTCATAGATTACTTTTCTCTCTTGGGAAAAAAGTGAGTACTTTTTTCCCGGATATATGTCACATATATACACTGTTGATGGCTTTTGTTGTGCTATTGTTCCGAAAAATGAGTCAATAATACCGTCTCCGAGAAAGAACTGCAAGTCCTTTTATCTTCCATTCGACTTCGCGGTTACGTATATTACTATACAACCACTAAATTCGCAATTTTTTAAAATTAAATCACAGAATTAGACTGACAGAAGTGACATTAGATATTTGATTACTTAAAGAATGATAAAGATGCCTACAACGCAGGTGTCCCTACCGTTAAAAACTTAAAATTTCTCGTCGATAATTTTCAGATTTCAAAACAATATAATATCTCCTCAATTTTGATTCGTCCTTTCTTTTGTCACAGAAAAAAATAGTGTATTATACACGAGAAAAATATTAGATTTTAGCTCACGGTTTTTTGTCTCCCTCCGCTACGCGTCGGGAGACAACACAACCTTTGAAGATAGCAAATGACATGATGACGTTACTATTGGTCCACTACAGAAGGGGGCGCTTCTCAGTTAATGATGGGAATTACTTTTCAACCATTAATATTCTTCTGAGATCATATTTGGTCAACCATCTTATTTTATATGTCAGTCTATATTTTTTATATGCTGATGATTTTATTATGATCGATATACTCACCTCCTTCTCTCTTGCTTTCTTCATGCAATCTATACGGTGTTTTGTCTCTTTGTAAATAGCTACTACAGCATCTAATTCTGATTCTTCCTTCGCCAGTTGTATTTTTTTCTCTTCTTCCTGCTTCAGAAGTTTCTTCTTCTCCCCAAAAAGTTCTTGCATGTTCTTTGCTTTCTATTGAATTCGAAACATGAAAATATTTAATTCTACCCTCATATTCTACTTATCGGAACTGATGTAAAACATAAACTTTTTGAAAAATGAATGGATTTTCAATCGGAATGCAGTGTTTGGAAGATGCGATCTTTCTGTTCAAGATTCCTTGTACAAAACTCGTCGGGAGTTTTTCTGTCAATATACACCAAATGTTCGAAAACAGTATTACAAAAATGAAAAAGTTCGAACGCTTTCGTATTCCAGGGATTTTTTTTTTATTTTTCTATCAAGCGTTTTTTCCGAACGTTCAAGCCAATATCTCGAAACGGTTTTGTAATTTTCCATATTCCTCATACAGGATGTTGAAAATCGATGATTTTTTATTTTTAGGTTTTCATCACATCATTTCCGATTTTAAAATTATGCAAGCCACATTCAACGTATTTTGCCACTCTATACGATGGAACACATCCTAGAAAATGGATTCATATTGCGTTGGAATCATCGACACTTTAACAGGAGTAGAATTAATTTTTTTTGAGATATTTTCAGAATTTGGTGAAATCGTCTGTTCAGTTTGATGCTGCCATAACCATATGCTATGCTGAACACAAATCCTTCATTTGGATCGATTGCTCTGCTCAATATCTCGAATTGATTTCGTGATTTTTCAGATAAGGCAATCCAAGAGGGCGCAAGAAGACCCTTCTGGATTTTTCTGACCAATTCATACAATGACGATGCTACAATGGTTTCAAGATATTCCTGAACTGACATGAAGTCAAGAAACCTATTTATCACATGGTTTTTTGGCTTTTTGACCTATTAAACTCGAATAGGTAAAAATAAACAAGGTGTTTCATATCAAAAAACAAATTGACTGGCATTTAATCTCTGGTAGAAGTCCGTCGTTCTGGTGTTACTTCATTAATTTTTCTCATTGTAGGGCTATGTGATTTCCTATAAGGCTGATGATGGACATGTCTGAAAACATGTTCCCTTGATGTGATTATTCACAATGAACCCGTGAGTTTTCACAATAAATTGTCGTGGAGATGACTTTGTGTATTATTCAGTATTAACAGGAATTTCCAGAAAAACCGGAATTCCACCATTTTGGATTTTAATGTGTTAATCAAATCCGAAAAGGTTACTTATAATATAAGTGTCCCAAATTTCACTATGCTTACGAATGCAGAAGTTACAGGGGTGGCCAGATACCCTGTGTTGAAATTTTCTAATCAATTTTGCTCTATTGAAGTACTTATTTTATGTCACGTCAAAATTCACATATCTTCAGGAGCAACTCTATTTCAGAAGACTATAATATATAAGTATTTTTCAGAAACCAATTTTCAGTCATTCTGTTTGCGAACTTTTCTTCATTGGCATGCACTCGTTAAATACCTATAGTGACTAAATTCACCTTTTCGAGCAGTTTTTTCTCTAGACATTCCATTTCTTCCATAGCTCTGATATTATCCAATGCTTCTTTTTCTGTTTGTTTCTGTTTTTCTTCCTGTTGCCTGAGAGATTTCTGAGCTATCCTGAAATTATTTTATTGTTAGTTATACATACATTCATTCGATGGTAAAACTCGAATTGACATCTATCAAAATATAAATACAATCCTCTTTCATGAGATAATCATGATCTACAAAGCACATTATACGGCCTGTTATGGAATACTGTTTCCACATATAGAATTCAGAGCACCCAAACACACGCTGATGCTCTGATGGATTTCATTTATAGAAAATCCATTCGCCTGGTAGGTGGTGACACACTCACAAACTCTGTGATATTGTCACGAGTAGAACATACGGTATATTAGTAATTTCGAACCATGAGGGTTTTATGACCATAAAGTTAATCAAATCATCCGTTGACATTGAATTATAAAAACTGACCAAGGAACTCTCATGAGAAACGTGCAAATCTAATGAAATGATGTATATAAATATTGGATGTGAGGGTTCCGAAGTTAGTCTGATCTGGGGCTACTCTTGACTTGACAAGAGCTCGTCGTGATGGTCATTATAATGTAAGTTGTTATTAGGTCTTTATATTCATTGTTGGTTATTCATATTTATCATTGCTACCCATAATGTTACATGTTATAATACAAATTGTTATGTTTGAATATAGTCTCGTACTTTCAGTCACCCCTAAACTATTAGTGCCTATTTAAATATTACCTCTCGCAAAATATTAAGCCAAGCATTACCCCTTATAAATTGACATGGTGGGAAACAACTTCACTATATCGTGACAATATCATTGGAACACCGTGAAAAAGTCGATGACCTTCCATTTTTTCTATAGATACTACCATTCCATCACTCAGACGAACTCGACCAAACCAGCTAGCCCACCTTCTCGTTGTCAACCTCGGAATATGTCGAACAGAACTTTATCAAAACTCGTTTATCTATAGAAAGGTAAAGCTCTAGAATTCATTGCCCGGTTATTCCCGAGAACTTCGCCAAAAGTTAAAAGAATCCAATACCAACCTGACTCATCTCCCTATCCTCCCTAGATACGCATGATATCACAGTTGAGAGAATAACTGTGATCAATTAGTGAAAACATCATGTGACTCATTTTTAGATTAACATCACTGATTCATATTCCAACATAGGTATGACACTGAGAAGTGTCAAACTATAAGCAGAGCACAACTTCCAAAGAAGAATATTTTGCATTTACATGTTGAGAACGGGAGTAGATTCATTCCCGAAACGTCCAAAGATAAGTAAAAATTCGCTATTTTTTTAATATATCTATATTTCTTTCCTTCAAACATTTTTTCAAACAAAGTGTCACTGGGATTCTTCTTTTAGGCTCCCTGATAGAAACATTTGTTAAACGCAGTGACATTTTGGGGCAAATCAACTGATTTGTCCCACTACAAATATATTGAAATAATACGCATATTTTCATTTTATAAAAACGAGGAGAGAAAATATCAAAAAATCAAGTAAAACAATAATTAGTAACGGGAGAGAACCAACAATAGTTTTCTAGGTAATGCCACGCACTTTCGTTTACCTGCTAATTGAGTTAATTGCCGGAACAACTTAATGGTAGGGCCTCCACCAAAATTTGAAAAGATATCAGAACTCCTTTGCAGGAGATAATCTAAGAAGCTTGAAGCACTGGTGAAGTTGTCGGCTGTCAATCTTCGATTTTCCATTTGAAGTAGCGGAAAGTTTGGTTATAATTGTTATTAATGTGCCTCAAAGTTATATTTTGCGTTTGTGGTTCGAGAACCCCTGGAAAACATGCCCAGATCCCGAAGGTTTAAAAAATAAAAATATATTCCATTAAGACATATTTTGGCCGATCCATTGTCGAAATTGATCAATAAATGTTTCACCCACCAGAAGAATATTTCCATAAGAATTTAAACATGCGACATTGAGAGCAATATACAAAAATGGAGATACCCAAGATCCAGAAAATAATAGACCTATTGCCTGATTGTGCATTTTTTCAAAATTGTTGAAAATATTTTTAAAAACCGTATTGTAGATTTCATGACTGCAAAGCATATCAGTGGATATAAATCAATTCGGTTTTCGTGAAGATAGTGGCACACAAGTGGCAATATTACAAGTAATAATAGTATATTATTTAACGAGCGATAATGTAGATCATAACATTCATAACTCACGCATTTGAAGGAAGTTGTAATTCATCAACTGAGCATATTCGACCGAGAGCCAGTTTCCCATGTTTTCGTGCGGGGTCCTTTATCAAAGCCGCTTCTTTGTGAGTGACATTTTCTATTTTGAAATTTAAAGATAAACCCGATCGTTTGCGATATATCCGTAGGACGTGATTTTAATATTTCTCAACCAATGAGGTATAAAAATTCCCAGTACCCAAAGAATTTTCGAAAAATTTTTGTTTTTGTGTTTGGTACCGTCTTTGGAACGTCGTGGAGCCATTTTGAGCGAATTCGGTTCGTTAATGATTCCAAGAAATTTTTCCGATTTATTATAGTGTTTTGGTGTCTCCTCATAGTATTATAATAATATGTCAAGTGAGTCACATTGGAGGGAACTTCACTTATATTCATTTTAGTTGGTGTTGATAATTAATTCTTACGGGTGCAAAAAAAAATAGCATGTTTCATTTGGACACTCGGTCACTTTTTATCCTAATAAAACAATCTATTAAGAGTTTTTTCCACATGTATCTTTATCAGCTGTTTTAGTGACACTTTGAAGGACGTTAAATGAGACGTTATAGAGGCACTCTACTTTGTGTGAGATCATTGTGATTCACAAAACAAAACACGAACCGAAAATATTTACACTAATCTTTCAAATTTTGGTCAAGGAATGCAGTCGTTTCTGCTCGTCTATCAGACGGTTAGAGATTGAGTTGAAAAAACTTACTCCTGTTTCAAGTAATCACCGTGATCTTTGTTCTTTTTTCTTTTCTTCAACTCTTTCTCTCTATTCTCTAGCAATTCCTTTTCAGCATTTTCTTTCACTACCTGCGCATATTTGGCAGCTTCTTCCTCATAATGCTTATCAATCAGTTTCTTGAAATCCTTCTGTTTTTCTCTTTCATATAATATTTCGCTGGTAACGAAAGCACTAGTCAGTTCACGAGCATTTCCCGTGTTCATGTAGATCTGCTTCCTCATTTTATCCACGTAATCCTTACGAATTTTCTCCTGTTCTTCCCTGAGCTCGAAAAATTTTTGATTCCTATCCTCTTTCTTCTGCTCTTTATGTTTCAGTCGCTCTTCTTCTTTTCTTTTTCGGATATTCTTTAGACACACAAGAACATTCATCGGTAAACAATCTATGAAACTTGAATACTTCATACATACTAGAGTCACTGGATGGTATTAGTTAGATCTATCTACTGATACCATCCAGTGACTCTACTTCATACATAGTTAAACCACTGGATACACCTACCTCAAGAGAATTCTCCCAATTCTGAATCATCCGTTTCGAACCGTCATCTAAATACTGCTTGTGCTCTCTTTCTCTTTGAATTGCTTGCTCTTTAAGCTTCTTCCTATCCAAATGACTGGTGATTTTTCCCCATTCCTTCGACCTTATATGGAGAGCATGACTCCGGTCCGATATTTTCGTGTTGGCTAGAGTTTGACCAGGAAAGAGATACCAAGTTGATTCCATTTGATACGCTATGAATACGAGTGGGACTGATGAATATTCAATCCAGTCTGATTTTGCCTCCGAACAACAAGGAGGACTGCAATATCGATCAAACAGTTCGTGTTGTCATTGGAAGACGTTGAAAGACGTTCTTGAAGGATGATACTGATGGTTACTAAGGTAACACACAGATTTTTTTGTGGATTTGCTGAAGAACATTTGACGTATAATGTTGCTCAAGTTCAAGCCCAAGTCAACTTATCTGTGATATCAAATTCAACATGAAAAAAATGATATGCGCCGTCGAGTTGAAAAATCTGAATTGATGTACGAAATAGTTATTTATGTATCAAGGGCGTAAAGTAGGCATTTTATGCACTAGCGGGCGGTAAAGTGCACTTTATCGCCCAGATTTGCGGGCGTAAAGTAGTACTTTACCGCCCACGGACCCATTATCGCCCACGGGCCATAAAGTGCACTTTACCGCCCGCTGTTCTCAAGTCCCTTATATCTACACATCTATTTGTGGAATACCCATGTTGGAACTCTCAGCTGATTCTATCGTTATGATTATGATATATGTTATTTATATATTGTTCATCCGATTCCATCTTCGCTATAACTTCCTTCTCTGAATAGTTGCTTTCTGGCTGTGTGAAGTTTTTAGCGAAAAGATGACAATTTCAGCTTGTTTTTTGGATGTAGTGCTAGACAGCAACCATCAGATTGATTGACAACGTCAAACTTAGGTAGCTATATACTGGGTATACATATTGTTATATCTCAAGGAATGGATCTCTGTTAGTGAACGAAGAGTTTTACTCTTACGATAATTGCGATATTCGTACGGTCATTTCAATATGTAGATTATACACATGAACATTGCGCTTCTCTTGAAAACTGAATTTATGAGTAACATATGAATTGTAGTTTGTTGAAATCTAGTCATTACTTGTGACTCGGGAGATGAACCACTAGTGCATAAAATTTTGTATGTATCACGTGCGTAAATGTTATTTATATACCAAGAACGAAACACTGTCCATTATAGTCGAGTCTAGCAATCAAGCGAGACAATAGACAGTTTTTCGCCGAGGCGCATATTAAATTTTTTCGTCGACCTCAAATACTTATAGATTCACAGTACGGTCCTATTCACATGTGAAATCCATCAGATTTTTTGAATTATCAATTTGAGAACAGCAAATGACAGTTGTTGTCAACTCACTTTCCGCGCGGACCAGGGTTGCCAGTTCAATTTTTATTCAATCAGTATAAGTACCTTGTCAAGATTCCAGTGGATATCAATAGATCTGTTTAGGATCTATTTTATGCAATACGAATTCCAAAAAAGGATAATGAAATGAACCTATATGACGTCAAAACATTATGTACTTTTAGAAAACAGGAACGTCACCTCTTTCCAACAAGATAGAAACAAACAAAACAAACATTCTCATACAAAAATAATCATATTCCTAACTCTCAATTCAAAAATACTCACATATATCAGAAAATACTGTTACATAGGTACATATACGATTTGAGTATATAAAAAACAGGAACGAATAGTAAAAATGAACAACAAAAATACAAAACAAATAAAAAAAATTAATGTGAGAAACAAACTGTCATAACAGTGGTATGGGAAATAATTGCATTTGATCTGAATCAGATGAAGTATTGTCCTTTTTTGGTTTATAAATATCATTAGTAGGAACCTATGAAATGTTTCAGTGGATTAGTAGATCATCAGATCAATATGCAAATCAGGAAATCTACTGGTAAAATTCAGTAGAACTGGCAACAATGCAGCGGACGAAAAGTGTTTGCGGACTACGAAGGAGCTGAAGGGCCACTTATACTTTTTTTTTTCTAATCCTGACTTTAAAGTCGGACCCCTGACTTTAAAGTCGGGGGTCCGAGATTAAAGTCGGGGGTCCGACTTTAAAGTCGGGGGTCCGAGATTAAAGTCGGGGGTCCGACTTTAAAGTCGGGGGTCCGAGATTAAAGTCGGGGGTCCGACTTTAAAGTCGGGGGTCCGAGATTAAAGTCGGGGGTCCGACTTTAAAGTCGGGGGTCCGAGATTAAAGTCGGGGGTCCGACTTTAAAGTCGGGGGTCCGAGATTAAAGTCGGGGGTCCGAGATTAAAGTCGGGAGTCCGAAAATGAAGTTAGGAGCTAGATTATATTCTTTAAATATGTGGACAGAAATGAATATTTTCCATTGTTACTCATCAGTTTGATGTCAGCAACATGCTCCTGAATTTTCTACATGTACTCGAGAAACACCCTGTACGTTTATGTACAAACAATAATTTTACATCCATTGGATAATCATCACATAAGGATCAGTCAAAATCCTCCCTTTTGGATGTACACTGAATGTCAAATAATGGATCACACCTGTACGATCATTATCGTTCGTATAGGGTGATTGTATATATTCCACTTCATAGCTGAGAATCTCATTTGTTTGTTTAAAGGGTGCAAAAAGATTACAATACAAAACATATATTTTCACAAATGAACTACCCTGAATGTCATTCCGTCCTTGGGTAGAGCTCAGAAAGATGAGTTTAATGATATATGATTACATTTGTAGGTATGAGATCACCCCTTCCGGACTATTTTCATAATCTTCTTCAATAAATAGCCAAATTTCTAAGCCTTATGAAAACGTTGAGAATCAAGTTTTCAATGCGCAGTTTTCATTATGAATTAACTGATTATACAGGGTGGTCCACGGTGGATGGCCTATTAGAAGTATCTGGAGAACGAAAAAACAGAACATCCTGAAAATTGGGATACTTTGATAATTGAACATTCTCTATCCCACTAGAATATTTTCATCGATACAGTGTTGCCACTTCTATAAGAAACAACTAGCAACTTCGCTATTTTGAATGGAGCACCCTGTATTCTATTGCATAATTAGATTCCTCCTGAAGAGCTGATTTCATCAATCTTGGGATCTAGCAGGAATGATTACAGAGATATATGATGTTCAAAATCGAGATTTTTTAATTTCAGGATTTTTTGTGTCGAAACTATTCATTATCGATCGAAACGACTAACATGTCCCTATCTTAACTTTTGATTCACTAAATACTGGAATTCAATTGGAACAAATACAGGGTGCTTCAAGATTCAGAATTCTGATCACCCTGTATCTGTTCCAATTAAATGTCAGTAGATAGTGAATCAAAAGTTAAGATAGGGACATGTGAGCCGTTTCGATCGATAATGAATAGTTTCGACACAAAAAAATCCTGAAATTCAAAATTCTGGATTTTGAACACCCTATATCCTATATCTCTGTAATAATTCCTGCTAGACCACAAGTGTGATGCATCGATGAAATCAGCTCTTCATGAAGGATCTAAAAATGCAATAAAATACAGGGTGCTCCATTCAAAATAGCGAAGTTGCTAGTTGTTTCTGATAGAAGTGGCAACACTGTATTGATGAAAATATCTTAGACGGATAGAAAATGTTCAATTATCGAAGAATCCCAATTTTCAGAATGTTCTGTCTTTTCGATCTCCAGATACTTCTAATAGGCCATCCAGTGTGGATCACCCTGTATATGTTATATTGATATTTTGTCCATATTGAGGATATTCGAATTAAACAAAAGTGATGACTTATTTTGCAAACCGATCATCTTGGATAGAGCTAAGAAAGACGAATTCAATGATATATGATATCATAGAATGGGTCTGAGAACACCCGTTTCGGACTTATCCATGAAGTCCGAAATTAAAGTCGGACCCCCGACTTTAATCTCGGACCCCCGACTTTGAAGTCGGACCCCCGACTTTAATCTCGGACCCCCGACTTTAAAGTCGGACCCCCGACTTTAATCTCGGACCCCCGACTTTAAAGTCGGACCCCCGACTTTAATCTCGGACCCCCGACTTTAAAGTCGGACCCCCGACTTTAATCTCGGACCCCCGACTTTAAAGTCGGACCCCCGACTTTAATCTCGGACCCCCGACTTTAATCTCGGACCCCCGACTTTAAAGTCGGACCCCCGACTTTAATCTCGGACCCCCGACTTTAAAGTCGGACCCCCGACTTTAATCTCGGACCCCCGACTTTAAAGTCGGACCCCCGACTTTAATCTCGGACCCCCGACTTTAATCTCGGACCCCCGACTTTAAAGTCGGACCCCCGACTTTAATCTCGGACCCCCGACTTTAAAGTCGGACCCCCGACTTTAATCTCGGACCCCCGACTTTAATCTCGGACCCCCGACTTTAAAGTCGGACCCCCGACTTTAATCTCGGACCCCCGACTTTAAAGTCGGACCCCCGACTTTAATCTCGGACCCCCGACTTTAAAGTCGGGGGTCCGACTTTAAAGTCGGGATTCGAAAAAAAAAAGTATAGGTGGCCCTTCAGCGCCTTCGTAGCGGACGAAAAGTTAGTGTCTGCGGACGAAAAGTACTTGCCTTCGGAAATAATCGGTTATTTGTTCGGAAATTAGAACGTAAAATGTGATTATTTGTAGAGGTCGACGAAAATAGTTATTTATACGAAAAAAAAAAAAATAAAGTGACTCTTTTTTGCACGCACGAACCGTCATCAAGTAATAAGGAAAACATCTGTAATGTGAATATAAAAATGAATATGAACGGAATATGAACTTATTATACATAATTATACATGGTATGTCACGACGAGCTTACTCTATCTCTATATCGAGAATTAGTCAGGAGAAATACATGAAAATATGCATGCTTATATTTTAGAATACGCTCTCTCCATTTGAAATAATTTCAGCAATGCAGTGTTGCCGCTTCTATCAAAAAGTAGCAACAACTTGGTTATTTCAAATAGAATACCCTGTATCAGAATTCTGAACCTTGAACCACCCTGTATCTGTTCCGAATAAATATCAGTGAATAGTGAATAAAAAGTTGAGATAGGAATATGTGAGCCGTTTTGACCGATGATGAATGGTTTCGATACAAAAAAATCCTAAAGTTGACAAATCTCATACCCTGTATGTCTGATTTGTGTGATAAAAATGATGGGTATTGTGTAAAACCCGAGGTATTATCTTCATTCGAACAACTTCCTTAGGCAATGAATTCCATAGCTCTCTCGTTCTATAGAGAAACGAGTCTTGATATAGTACTGTTCGA